AGCCCTATCCTCCTCCCCAGAGCACTTCCTCTACTAGCTTCTGCTGCCTGTAGCATCCTGGCTGGGGATGGAAGAACTGGGAGAAAACAGCCTTCCAGCTCCAACCAGAGAGATAGGGGAGGGACCGAGCACACACCTGCCACTCCAGGGCATCCCTGCCTCAGGCTCTTGGTCTGGCATCCAGCAGATCATTTGGCAAGGGGTGAAGACTTCTTAATCTATTTGTATTCCAACAAACCAGGCCCCTGGCTCATGTGAGGCACTTCCACAGGCCTCCCAGTTTCCTTTTAAATCAGTCGCTGGTTCTCCCTAATCCACATGAGGTGAGACACTTGTGTCAGCTGCTGGGGAATGCGGAGGCTGGAGCAGTGACCCCTGCCTTCTGGGGACTCATGAGGGAGAGGGTGGTGCTGGAGGCGTGTCAGGCTAGGAGTTGACTGGCTGGTATGGAGATAGCATTGTGAGAGCGCATGTGTGAGCACACAAGTGTGTGTATGTGATTGTATACACAGGTGCACACACACGAGTGGACACGCATGCATATGTGTGCACACACATGTGTGCGCTCATGCAACATGCATGTGTGGATGTTTGTGGGTGAGTGTGTGCATGTATGTAAGACTGTGCTTGTGTGTTCATATGTTCACTCGGGAGGAAGCTGTGCACGAGAGAAGTGTCTGCATGATGGATATGCGTGTGTATGTACATGTGTGTGCATGTGCCTGCCGCGTGGGGCTGGGGGCCATGGGCAGCCTACAGACCCAGAGAGAGCTGAGACGGCTGCAGTTGGTCCTAGGGCGGGACAGGCCTGTGGGGCCCTGGGCTGGGACCAGGCCGGTTTGTGCATCCACACTTCCTGGCGGCTGACTCGAGGTGCTGCGCCATCCTCTGAGATGACGTTTGTGAGTGGCTTCTGCCTGTGGGAACACTGTGCCAAGGAGTGCCAGCTAGTATGAAGGAGTGAGCAAGATAAGCGCAGTTTTAAACATTCTTTAAAAAATCCAGCGGAGAAATCAGCACTTTCCCCTTCAAGTAGCAGAGACTGAGCCCTAGTTCTGGACCACACCAGTGAAACCTCTTAATAGGGACTTCCCACTCCTCCAGTTGCTCCATTTGTGCCCAGGTCACTTAACCAGAGGTGGCAGTGGCCCATGGCACCTCAGCGCCCCTTCCTTTTCTGACTCCAGTGTCGTCCAAGGCTGTGGGGGTCTCCTGCTCTGCCCAGCAAGGGGCTGGGCCCTTTTACAATGCTAGGGACCTGGGACCCCTCAGTCGCTGAAGTTCAGGCAGTCTCGAGAGTGGCTTCGTGGGTTGGGTCCTGTGTGGCAGTGTTTGTGGGTCTGTTGGCCCCGCAGCGGCTCGGGTTCCCGGGTGAGTAAGGCAGTCAGGGCTAGATGCCATGGGAGTGCTTGTGTATGCCTGCCCACATTTACACACACACACGAATACACCTCATGCCCATGTATGTTCACACACACATGTACACACACGTGTGTGCCTACTCATGTCTACAGACACATGGGCACGCATGGATTATTGGGTGGTGGTAATGACAGGAGACAGATGGGAGAACACATGGCCTCATCTCCTCTCCTCCTCCCAGGTGACAGAGAACCTCTTCGCATCTCCATGACATTCATGGCTGTGTGAGCCCTGTGTGTCTGGGCGAGGCTCAGAATGAGGACCTTCACACGCTGCCTGTTCTTGAAGACCCAGGCCCTTGGCCAAGGCTCCAGTGCTGGGTTACACGAAAGGATGCAGGTCAGAGACACAGAGAAGAAATAGGAAGTCAAAGCAGATGAGCACTGATGAGGTTTGGTCCCAGAGGCATCTTGGCACTGAGTGTGTGAGGGGAATGAGGCAGGCACCAGGGAAGGGCGCCACGGGGCAGCCTGCAGGGCAGCACTCTGGGCAGTTCGGGGGTACATATGCAGTTGCTGGCCACAGGGCGGCCCTTGGGGTAGCTTTAGGGATGGAATGCTCTTGGACAGTGAGCGGGGCACTTGGCCTGGATTTGTGGGGACTCTGATTCCTCTGCTATGGGCGCCCGGTGCCTGCACCACACGCCTCTCAGATCTGCAGCTCTGGGTCACATAGCAGTGGGCGTGTGCCTGGTTCAGGCTCCCCTTTCCAGCCTTCTCTTGCTTTGCTATTTCCTTATATAGCCTAGGGGCAAAGAAAACCAGTGGTTAGTTCTATTTTAACCTTCAAATCATTAAGAAAATTATTAGCTAACACTATTTTTAAACGTATAAGCAATATTATGTATGACTGTATTTAATGTATTCTATACATGTTTAAAAGAAAAGTTTCAACAAAATATAATAAATATGATTCTGAAAATATACTTGCAACATTGAATGCAACAAATCAAGTTTAAGAAATAATTCCATTGTACCCAAGAAGAGAAATAACTGCTTGGATAATTCCAAAATAGGAAGTGTCTCTGGCCTTTTCTCCTATGAAAACCCGAATGATTTTGTTTCCTGAGGAAGGTAATTCTCCCTCATGTCTTTGAGGGTGTGCAGTTATCCACATGCAGCTTCTCCTGTATTCACCACCAAGTTCCTGTTTATGACATCTGGGGAGCACTTGGGAGCCGAGTCCCAGTGCCCCCACTGGACTTCCCCTTGGGGGCTTCCTTGGCCTGCGGGGTCCCAGGTGGTACTGCTATTGGGCTGGGATACAGCTGAAAGTGAGCTGTCTGGGTTGTGTTGGCACCGAAGCACTCATTATTGGGTCCCTAGTCAGGGCCTGTGAAGATTCCTGAAGCTGAGGTAAGGAATTGACCCACCTGCCTGTAGAATGTCTTCGGGTTCACTGACTATAGTCTCAGAAAAAGAATTTTGAGGATGCATCAGTAAGAGACATAAAGGGATTTATTAGGCAGGAATTTCAAGTATGCACTCAAAGAAATAGAGTGCAGGCAAGAGAAAGAAAGAGAGAGAGAGGACTTATTTCCTAGAACTGGGATCATTTATGCTTGTCTTGAGGGGTGGAAACCCCAGGAAAGGGTGGCCCACCCCCTAGAAAGCCACTGACTTATTTTACAGGTCTGAGCCCCGTTGTTTTTCAGATAGGTAATTGAAGCATTGTTTGGATGGTCTCAACCTGTTCCTTTATCTTAGGATCAGGTTCCTGATTCTTTCTCATTGAAGCCAATTTAAGGACTTTCAGTACAGTATTCCCGAGGAATTTTGATTTTGATTGGTCTGGAAGGAAGGAGCCTAATTTAACCAAAGGAAGCTGATATGGATGCTCGCTGTAGTGACTTCCACTGGGTCCTGGAAAATCACAGTTTCCTTGAAGTACAGATCTTAGTTATGGTTCCTTTCTACCTGCCTTTTGTTTCTTCTATCCTGCTGGTACCTCAGAGTCCTTGTGTCCGGAAGCAGGGCTGGGATGCTGGGTGGGGTGGCCCAGGATTTGGGGAGCCATTGGCCCCATGTTCTCCTTGACCTCATGGCCTTTGTCACTGCACTGTGAACCGGGATTCCTCATCTGCAAGTGAGCAGATCCTCAGGGCCCTTTCCTGATCCTCAGTGTTCCTGCCTGCTGTGACACCTTCGCTTTTCACATACAAGTTTTAGTTCCATTTTTGCAGTGCTTCTCTTTTTTGCTCTTGGTCTTTTCTGCCCCCTCAACAGCGCGCCCATGAGTGTACACACATACACACATGCATGCACACACACAACATTCTCAGGACTGGACAGAGAAAGAGCTGGGGCACACACTCTTGGTCCTGTGCACACCCCATTCTCCCACCGGATGGAGCTGTGGGGTGCTATGTCCTCTACAGAAATTACCCCTGGGAGCCATCCTGGCTTTGTGTGGCCACAGCTTGGGATGGGGCATGCGGCGGACCCACTGAGGAGGGCTGGCAGCAGGAGGCTGCGTCCTCAGGGCTCTGCTCCCTGCTCCACACAGGTGGGCCCGTTATCCTCTGCATTGCAAAGTCCCAGAGAAATCACAAGATGCTTGTGGGTTGAGGGTTGTTTTCTGCTAATCGCACTGCCATGGTGAGCATGTAGGCAGTATCATCCGATCAGCCATTAGGAGCAGCCTGGCCCAGCTAGAGCGATTCTGCTAATTACACTTGTTGCTTTTGAATGGCTTTCTTGGCCACACTGGCAGCAAAACTGTTGTGAACAATGAAAGAAACCATTTCCCTTCGTGGCAGGGTCTGCAGATGGCTGCCGGTGTGGGAAGCACTAGACCCTGAATTAGTCTTTTGTACAAGCCAGAGAAGGAAATTTGAATGTTTGAAGCCCCCCACGAAGCTCATCTCAAAGTGCACAGTTCTTGAATAAAGACTAATTGGGGCTCAGTTCGTTAGAGGGTGTGGCTCGGAGGGCAGTGAACAGCGGGGTCTGTCATTGTGGACACATGGGAGAGAGCTACCTCAGCTTGGTGTCTGTGACCACCTCTGTGTTCCCGCTTCCTGGGCATCAGAGCAGGCTGCTGCCTCTGGGGTGTCCCCAAAGGTCCCAGAGGCTTCTAAAAGTTAATATTCATATCTCCTGGGTGTCTGTTCCTTCTGCAGAGCGGCCCTGAGTGCTAGTGAGTTTCTGTTACTGAGCCATCGGATGCAGGTCTCATGTCAGAAATGAGGGTTACAGACTGTGCAGTGTGTGGGGTGCTGGGAAGGCAGAGCGAAATCTGCAGGGGCGTAGGGTGCACGTGGGGTCCTGATTGCTGGACCCAGGTGTCAGAGGCCAGTGTGGGCCACACAGTGTGACACTGCCTCACGAAACAGGTTCAAATCACCAGTTATTTTTCCTCTGCCTTCCACTTGGTATTGTCCATGACGCTTGGTTCTCTATGTAGGCAAATCAGTGCTTTCCAAACGCATCTGTGTCCTCAGGGCTCTTGACTTCCCAATCTCGCTGTCCCAAGGCCACTGCTAGGTACATAGTTAGAATGTTTCACAGGACGCGTGCAGACCTTTCTGCTCTCTGAGGACCAAACCTTAAGTCTTTCTTGCCTTCCTCTTCCCACAGACGGCATGTTTGGAAGGTGCCAGAAGGTTCCGGGTCTGGACATATCACGCTATGAAGTGTCGCCTGTGGCCCTGCAGCACCTGAGGGCCACCTTGCAGGCGCTGTCTCGCACAGGTAAGGCTGGGCAGCTATACCCACGCCAGCACCCATGAGGTCTCCAGGGGTGAGGAGGTGGGAGGACCCCATGAATCAAGGCCTGGTGTCCAGAAAGGCCAGGGTCTACACCAGGAAGGCCCCTGTGGTGTCCTGTCTGTGGGCCACGGGTGGAAATCACAGGGAGTGAGGGACAGATGCTGGGGCTTCTACAGAGAGGAAGGGTAACTGAGGGCGGGGCGGAGTCCATGCACATCCCAGCCTGAGCCATCAGATGTGGCACAGTCGGCACTGGCCCAAGGCTCTGTGCAGTGCCATGTACTACAGTTTGGTAGCCAGAGAGTCCTGTTCCTGTATACTTCACAGGGGTGCTAAGATCATTTAACAAATTACGGTCATTTTAAAGGTATACATTATTGCACTGCCTATGCAGTTTCTGTTGCTCCTGATTTAACTTTCTGTGTGCATAATTATACATGGAGGGGGCCATCATGAGATCACATTCTCACGACCTGTTCCCAAGATGGTCATGTCTCCTTTTGCTCTGAATAAGACCCAGGCTGCGGCCACATGTAGTGTTACAGCTCAGAGTGGCATGGGGTAAAATCCTGTGTCTCACAGTCAGGACTTAAATATCTGTCACACTGGGGAGCAAGGCAGAGGTGGAGCCAGTGATCCTGCGACTCGTGACTGGAGCTCCAGCTGGCATTGCGGGTCACAGCACTCTGGGCCAGGTGTGCTGCTCCACAGGGAAGGCCTGTGGTCAACAGGCTTGGTGGCTCCCTCCACCCTCTCTGCAGTGCTCACGGGGCGCTGGCTGATCAGAGGCCTCGGGGAGCTCTGCTGATGGCGTGTGTCATTTGTTGAGGCAAGGCCCTTAGGCCAGGGCTCGCTGTCTCTCCACACTGCGTCCTGTGAGGTTTGTTCAGGGTAGCAGGACCGTGATGAGCCCATGGAAGGGGTTGGGCAGAGAGGTCAGCAAGCTGGTGTCCAGATGGACAGCTGTGGCCCTGTCGTGTGACCTCGACCTGGTGGAGAGGGCGAGGGTACTGAGGGTAGTGAGCGTGGCAAGGGCAAGGGCTGCCCAGAGCTGCTCTGCTGATGTCACCCACCGGCGGGCTCTGTCCCTCTCACATCTTGTAACTGACGTCATGAGTGCAAAGTTGACTGCATGAGTACTGCAGAGGTACCAACACGCTACATCTCAGAGGTAAAGAGACGAGAGGGATGAGGTGAAAGCATGTTCTGATACAGGGCCACACGCAGATCCTAGCCCAAACCAGCTTTGTCTGGCTGCTGTCAACCTGCTTCTCCCCACCTGCCCCACACATGTGTCCCCCTCCCTGGGGCTCCCGAGGTGGTGTGCTGTCCTTTCGGGCTGTTCGCAGCCTGTGCGCACCAGTGTCTTTTACTTGTTCATTAACCACAGTCATGAGACACGGGGTACAAAGAGACTCTGTGCATCTCTGACAAAATTCTCCTATCTCCAGGTGGGTAGCAGCAAAGTACTTTTCCCTGATGGAAGCACTCTTCTTTCTAGAACCAACGTCTACACCAACTGAGCATAAATTCCTGGGGACAGGAGTGGAAGTTTTGCTAGTGAGCAACTTGGGGTAAAGGTGACTGGTTCATCTCTTGGTTCCTGGACTAGCGAATCCTGGCAGGGAGATAAAGAGTACCATGAACTGGGTGCCAATTCAGAGCACGCCAGCTTCCTGGAGAAATGTGCCTGGCTCTGCTAGATGCTAGGATGGTGTCTTCCAAAGGCCATTTCACATTCCGTCAACCTGTGGCCTAGGGTGGCAGGAAGTAAGGCAAGGCTGCTGGAGTCTATGATGTGCTTCTCTGGCTGTGGACTGAGTCCTTGGCCAGAAGCCATGCTGTGTGGTGTAGCCTAATAGTGCATAGACTGAACCCTCTGAAACCATGAAACCTTTCCTCCTATAAGTGAGGTATCTCAGACATCTTGTCTCAGTGACAGAAAGCTTTCTAACACACTACCCCCTCTCAGCCCCTGGCACCACTAACCTTTTTCTGTCTCTGGAGTTTTGCCTTTTCTAGGATGTCATATAGCTGGCATTGGCCTGACTTCTTTCAGTTGGTACAGTGCATCTAAGTTTCCTCCACATCTCTTCGTAGCTCAGAACCTCATTTCTTTATCACTACATACCATCCATGGTTTGAGTGCTCCAGAATTTCTCAGTCATTTACCTACTAAAGGAGGACACCGTATTTGCTTCAAGTTGCAGCAGGTATGGGTAAAGCTGCTGTAACATTCATGTGCAGATTTTTTGAGAGGACCCGGCTTTCCATTCATTTGAGCAAGTACCACAGCGTGGGATCACCACACACATGGCAGCAATATGTTCAGTGTTATAAGAAGCTGCCACCCTGTCTTGTAAGGAGATGTGGAGGCATAGGTGAGTCACTAAGCTTCTTTGACATTATATTTGGTAAATGTGAATAATCAAACAGTTGCTGTGAAGGTCAAATGAAATAAAATGCTTAAGAAATTTTATAAATACTAGTATTTCCAAATGTGAAATATTATTTTATTTTGACATTCTACTTCTAAATTATGATAGCTGTTATATAGAACATTTGCACTTACTACTTTTAAGTGGAGATATAGCAATTTTTTTCTGTGTTGGTTATTTCTGTGCATAAGGTCAAACAGCAGGAAAACAATGATTTTCCATGGGTGAGGACAGCTCCTAGTTCTTTCCTGAGATGACAGCAATGATGAAGATGGAAATGCATTGTAGTGTGTTGGCTCCTTGACAGATGTTCGTCCCATGAAGCCATGGAGTGGACATTAAATGGGTATCCTGGCCTCTCACACCCAGGCATTTAGCCCCCCTAGGAGGGCGTCAGATCAGGGCTGGAGCTTGGGAACACACCAGATTCCTTCATCATCACTGTCTAGGCACCAAGGACTGAATGGGGGTCAGATCCTGTGTATTTTGTCAGTGGGATACATCACACAGAGAGCAAGCCTGTGGCAACCACACCACCTTTTCTGCCATAGTTGCGCTCCAGGCCAGCTGTGCTGGCAGCTCCTGTCACCCCTTCCTTCAGGCCCATGCAGGGCCTGGTGTTGGGGGCTGCAGAGGGTTGATCCTTCCAGAAAGAGGACTTGGGGAGGGGTGAGGGTAGTGTGGGCCACAAAGGGATGGAGCAAGTCACACATTGGTAGTCCAGGGGAGATTGCACTGGGAGGCCTGTCTCTTTTCTCTCAGCAAAAGAAACCTATTTGAGAGGAGATCAGGCACACTTTGTAAGTGCATTGGACCAAAAGCCACACTGAGTCACACACCACCAAGCATTTAGGGAGTCTTATGGGTGCCTAGTATGAGGCTTTGCATCTTGTAGGTATTATTATTATTTTTTATCATAAACTTATTTTTTGTTTTTAA